TCAATAGGTATCCAACTAGCTATGAAAGAAGAAAGACTGTGATAACTACAATACAGATAAAAAGGAAGTGCTTTGTTATATATATAAATGGTGCTGTATCGGTTTCCGATTTGTGGCCACACATTTAGTGGCTTAAAACAACAGGAATTTATTTTCTCACAGGAGGCCAGAAATCTGAAGCAAGTCATACTGGACTAAAATCAAGGTGTTAGAAGGGCTGTGTTTCCTCCAAGGCTTTAAGGAGAATCCATTCCTTGGCTCTCCCAGTTCCTAGTGGCTGCCAGCATTTCTTGTGGCCTCATCATTCCAATCCCTGCCTCTGTGGTTACATCTCCTTCTCCTCTGTCTGGGGAAGCTCCGCAGCTCCCTCCTATGAGAAGAGATGTGGTTGCATCTGAGGCCCATTGGGATGAGGTAAAATGATGGTTCTAAATCATGATGCTTAACGTAAACACCTCTGCAAAGCCCTCCATTGCCATATAGGGTAACATGCACAGATTCCTGGGGTATCTTCTGGGAAGTCATTGGGGTGCCACCCTCATTCTTCCACTTCCTTCCCCCATCACATAGAGCTGTGGTGTCTAGTATAGGAGTCGCCAGGCACATGTGGTTTGTGAAGGGAGGGTGGTTACACTGCAGGTTGCCCGAGGTGACCCTGGATGGGGCACAGGCTGAAGGAACAGCCACCACCAGGGTGAGCTCCTCTCCCAGTGAAGCCTGAAGTACAGGAGGGTGAGCAGACGGATGTCTGTGGAGGCCTCCTCAGAGAAAGAACGCACCCACAGTCCATTAGCGAAGCAAGTGCCAAGGCCAAGCAGTGTCATTAGGGAAGGGAGTTCACTCGGCCCCTTAGTGGGACCTTCTACACAGTCACATGCCGGAGTGGCATGAATTATACAGGCAAGTTTGTGAAGAATGATGAGCAGTGATTCTTAGGGGTGAAGCAGCTGGACTTGACTTTTTTTTTTTTTTTTATATAATTCACTTGTGTAGTTGTGTGGAAAGCAGATTTGAGAGACGAGATGCTAGCGTTGTGAGGTTCAGGTGAGACATAGTAAGAATGTGGGCTGGGAACTAGTGAGCTGCAATGGAACAGTTATTTCAGAACGACTTAGTCACTTATGGCTGGTGTGTAGATGCCCCCATTTACTGTCTGTCCACTGCTAAGGTGTGCAGTTGCCTATCCAATATCTGTTTTCTTATTTTTACCAAATCAGCTCTGATGTTACTTGTCACTAATGTGCTTAATTAAGCATTTTCCACCTAGCTTCCCTTGCAGCTGGAAGGGAAACCCTGGATATAAATGAGATTCACTAGGTTGTATTATCAGAAAATTTTTTTCATTGGGACATGTGCTTTTTTATCATTTGCTCCTAACCTCTCTCTGCCTCAAGTGCAGATGGATGCCTGGAGCTCCAGCAGGTATTTTGTGGCTAAGAGGCCGCTATGCTCAAGATGGCTGAGTGGAGGGAGAAAGGGAGCCTGTCTTTGATGAGATCATAAAGATACCACATATATATAATACCTTAATAAAAAAAAAGAAAAAAAAAGATACCATACCACCCTCCATCGCCTGCTTTAGAAGACTGGTTATGTGAGAGAAAGTAAATGCCCTCATTTAACACGTTAAGCGCCCAGTCAGTCACCGGTGACTGACACTATACTTTCTGTCCGGAAGACAAAACAAGCTGGGAGCTTAACAGGTTAAGTGACTATTTTTGTCTGTTTTAAAAATATATATGTATTTTTATTTCAGAGAGGGAGAAATGTCAATGATAGAATGATGATTGGCTGCCTCCTGCACACCTCCTGCTAGGGATTGAGCCCACATCTGGGGCATTTGCCCTGACCAGGAATTGAACTGTGACCTCCTGGTTCATAGGTTGACACTCAACCACTGAGCCACACCAGCCAGGCTGTTTTTTTGTCTGTTGTTAATAGCCAAGTAAAGTTCCTGTCACCACACATGACCTTACCAACGTGAAGACACGTTGTGAGAATGAGCAATTTACAGGTAGATGAGGAAAAGTGGCTGGTTTGGCTCAGCAGATAGAGTGTTGGCCTGTGGACTAAAGGGTCCCAGGTTCAATTCTGGTCAAGGGTACATGCCTTGGTTCCAGGCTTGATCCCTAGTAGGGGGCACGCAGGAGGCAGCCAATCAATGATTTTCAGCATTGATATTTCTATCTCTCCCTCTCCCTTCACCTCTAAAATTAATTTATATATATATATATATATATATATATATATATATATATATATATGTATTTTTTTTTTTTAAAGTGGAACATACATGGCAGACAAATTCTTGCTAGGCAACTCAGAAACAATGGGACATAGGGATATCTAGGTCACAGGCCCCTGCCTAAAGCCCTCTTACAATTCAAATTAGGCTAAGGGAACATCCTAGTTTTTCTATCAGACTCTCTTGGGCAGGAAAGGAGGGAGTAGTCAAAGTGTTTTTTTTTTTTTTTTTTTTTTTTTAAACAATGAGTCTTTTGTTTCTTAATAAACAGCTTAAAAACAACATCCCAAAAGGCAAAACTTGTTCCCCTTCAAAATGTTAAAACCTCATTAAGGTGATCTAGTCCAGCAGTAAGCAGCTGCTGGTTATATAAACTTGTGGAGAAATTTTCCTTTGGTTTCTTTCTTCCTTGTCCTCTTAACACAAGTCCAGATGCTCCTCAGCCACCTATCTACCTTATGATGTCTTCGTAGGTGTTAAATCGTCTAAGACAGTTAGCAGCAAAGGGGGGCTGACTTTTGTTTTAGAGAAGGACTCTGGAGGAACAAACGTGTGAAAGCAAAAAACAACAAAAACACAGATGTAGGCATTGCTATTTCCAGATAAGGAGCTACCCAAATGTATTATAATCAGGAATGATAAAGTTGCATTTCTACATAACTTGATAAGCACTTCACCTACATTATCTCATGAGCTGCCTGAGGTTAGATGATTTGTTCGAAGAGAAGAACTAACAAGTGGCGGGGATGGGAGCTCTAATTGTTCTGACTTACATTTCCCCTCCCTGTGCCAACTGTGTTGAGAGCCTTTTGTGTATATGAGAGAAAGGGGGGGGTGTCGAAGAAATACTGCACTGGACATAGTTAAACAGGAAAGGAAGACTTCATTCAAGACAATTGCAATGGGGGAGGGGGGAAGAAGGGAGAGAGAGAGGGAGAGAAGGAGAGAGGGAGAGAGGGAGAGAGAGAGAGAGAGAGAGAGAGAGAGAGAGAGAGAGAGAGAGAATGAGAATTTAACTGTACTGACATAAAAAAGCAAGCGGGTCCTTAAGCCCTGAGATGTGCTATTGGGAAAGGACTGAGGACTGGAGGACGTTGGGAGCAGGAGATGGAGTTGGTCAATGTGTTCAGGCCATATGTGTTTGCTAAACAGCATTCCCAGAAGTTAGTCTTCTACCCTCCCACAGGGACTGGGATAGAGCGGCCCTATCTTCCCTGATGGTTTCCCTGTCCTTTGAGGTAAACCTCCTGGGTGGTAAACCTGGTGAGAAGCTGGGAGAGCTACCTCTCAAGAGCAGAGGGATAATTTACAAGGGAGTCTTCTAAAGGAAGTGCTGTAAGGAAAGGGTGAGCAGGGACCTAGAGCCAGGAAGAAACCCGGCTAAAGTGTCTAAAGTTTAGTCAGGCTGAGGGGACCTTTAGGGCTGTCTGGGTCAGAGGGCAGCACCAGCTTCCCTTGCTCTCCAGGAACCAGGTCTCAAAGTTCCCGACTGGCCATCTCTTAGCAGGTGGCTGCTTTGTCAGGGGACACACAGACTAGCTGGTGGAGGAACTTGAATTTCAGTGTGCATCCAGGTGGAGAGGATTCCCTGGTTCCGTGATGCTCCGGAGGGGTGAGTCCTTGCAGTTTTCTGGCTCTGTCTCCACCCGGAGAGGAGAGCACTCACCTACTAGAGCAAATCCAAGAAACGTTTTCAGCTCAGAGATGGTTCCATACAACTTCACAGGAGGGTGGAATGGGGAAGGTGGAATGGGGAGGGTGGAAGGGACTCTTGTAGCCCAAAGATAACCGAGGGGCCCTGGGCACCCCCTAGTAGAAATTACCATCATAATAAGCTGAACTGATAAGGGCAGCCAGCAGCACAGAGGAAAATGGAAATCTTGGCTGGCATTTCAGCTCGCCTAAGGAACCATGCTTCTCTCAGAAGGCAAGGTGACCTGACCTTAAAATCCAGGCCTCGGAAGTAGGAGATGAAGGTATTTCATTTTCCCCTTTAAGGCTTTGATGTTTTCCACATAAAAATGTAAAAGACCCAGCTCCTTCCCCTGAAGCTTCTTAGCAAAGTCGTGGGCTTTTAGAAAAGACAAAGGCCTGGGGGTGGGTAGTGTCTAAGGAGCAGTGCCCTGAGGCCTCTCTTTCCCCTTTCCAGAGCTTGAGGATTTTTAAAAATGTTCCTTCCCCAAAACGCCCCACCCCCTCCTTCCCCCACCGATCCTTCTTCTTTCCTCCAAAGTAGGAACGGACGGCTACCCCTCAGGCCAGGCCCTGCTACCCATCTTTCCTGAATCCCAAATCCTCCAAATACCAAGCTTCGCTCCTTTTGGCCCTGCCTGGTGTGCGGAGGGAGCTCCTTTGGCCACACGGTGGCGCGCGCGAGCCTTCCACAGCCGGACGCCCCCCCCCCCCCCCGCCCCCCTTCCCTTCCCTCCGCGTCCCAGCGCAGGAGGAGCCGCGCCCCCGACCTTCCCCGGCGGAATAGCGGGGGGCGCACCTCCAGGGCCCGGGATGCTGTAGAGTCACTGCAGCGTCCGGCCGGCGCGGGAGGGGCGACCGGCTGCAGGGGGGGCCCCTCCGGGTTTCCAGGCTCCTCCTCCTACCGGTCCAGACCACCCCCAACCCCCCCCCCCCCCCCATTCCCCCACGGCTCCACTCCGCGAATCCACGGCTTCCCCCAGCAGCAGCCCAGGAGCGGCGGAGGGCGCAGCAGAGGCGACCGGAGGAGCGCAGCCGGCAGCCCCGGAGGTGCCGCGGGGTCCGGAGAGGAGAGAAGCGACCAGGGGAAGACCGGCGCCCGCGTGTGTGTGCCAGATTGTGGGGGGCGACCGTCTCGAATTAGGGCGCAGGAGGAGCGGTCAGGGGCACCGGGGCGGGGCGCCCCCCTCCGCGCCCCTCGCCATGGACTTGCGCGCAGTTGGGACGCGCCTCGGCGGCGGCGCGCGAGAGGCGGCCGGGCCCCGGAGGCGCGCGGGGATGGCGAGGTAGGATGGCCGCCCAGCGCGAGCCTCGTCGCCCCAGCCCCGCGGCTCCCGGGCGGCGGCGCCGCTGACTCGCCCCGGAGCGAGCGCGCAGGGTGTGGGCGGAGGCGGCCCCGCTGCGCCCGCGCCTTGGGGAGTCGCTGCTTTGCCTCTCGCACCCGCTCGCACCTGCCACCCGCGCGGACACCATGTCGAAGGCGGCCGGAGGCGGGGCGGCGGCGGCGGCGGAAAGTTGTCCCCCGGCCCCGGCCGGCCCGCCTGCCGCCGTGGAGGACCTGTCCAAAGTGTCGGACGAGGAGCTGCTGCAGTGGAGCAAGGAGGAGCTGGTCCGCAGCCTGCGGCGCGCCGAGGCCGAGAAGGTGAGCGCGATGCTGGACCACAGCAACCTCATCCGCGAGGTGAACCGCCGCCTGCAGCTGCACCTGGGCGAGATCCGCGGGCTCAAGGTGAGCGCGGGGCGGGGAGGGGAGCGGAGGGGAGGGGGAGGGAGGAGAGGGGAGGGGAGGTCCCACATTGTGGGGAGCAGCGGGGCACCCCGGGAGGTGGGGCCAGGCTAACTTTCCCTCCCTCCCTCCCTCCCTCCCTCCGTCCACAGGTGATCCTCCCCATTCTCCAGGTCAGCACCTCACCCTGTACCCCATCCCCGCCCTTTGCAAACTTTCACAAACTTTGGAGGCGTCGAGCTCTTGAGCTCTTTCCCATTGGGATGCCCAGCTGCGATCTCCCTCTTGGGGTCCGCTGTGGCGGGAGGAGGAGGAGTGGGCCCCCGGGATGCTGAGCGGCTGGGAGGAGGTGATGGGGACGCGGGATGCTTCGGGTCAGGTGCTGTGTGACATACCTGCAGGGGGAAGGCAAGCGAGGGAGCTGGTCTAGGGCATCTTCGCCCTTGGGGATGGGGCGGACGAAAAGGCTGCTGCGGCGCACGACCTCCCTGGCGGGCGGAGGGTGAGGACGAGGTGCCAGTGCCAGGGCGCGGGGCCGGGGGGGCGCGTTCCGGGGAAAGCTGCGGGCGCCGCCCTCGGAGCTGGCGGGTATCACCCGGAGCCTGAGAGCTTAAGCTCTGCCTTCACCGCGTTCTCTACCTGTTCCCGTGCCTTCCTTCTCCCCGGATTCGAATGGCGTCATCTGAGTGTGTCAGGCCCCCAGTACCCCCCTCCCCGTTTTATTTTAATTTAACCTTCTATGGTGGGAGCAGCAAAAGGACTCAGCATGGGAGGCGCAGGGTTTTGAAAGGTTACTCCGAGTGTCAGTGATGCTTGCTTTTTGAGCCAGGCAGCTCCATTCTCCACCCCCCCCCCCACCCCCCGCTTTGCTACTAGGAAAAAGAAAAGAAAAAGAAAAAGGAAAAACAGTATCTGTTCTCCCCAAACTTTCTTTTCTCCTTGGAGAGCTCTGCATGTGCCTGCAGTGTGCCTGCAGGCCGGCTGCCCCCCACCAGCGGCCTGGAGCCGCCCTGCGGGCGTGCACAAGGAGCGAGTTTCCTCTCCTGACTGCTGGTGCTGGTGCCTCCTGGTATTCCTTCCTCTCATTGTTCTGCTTTTGTTTATAGGAAGCCAGACTCAAACGCAATCACTGCAGGGACCTTAGGGAGCAAATTCCAGCAGGCACACGCTGTTCTTGTCCCCTTTCCACTCCCACCCACTGCTCAGGCTGCAGACACTTTCTCCATGGCCTAGCACCCCAGCCCTGGGATTCCAGGGCGGAGAGGAGGGGAGAGGAGGGGAGAGGAGGGAGAGGAGGGGGAGGAGCGGAATGCCAGGTCCGCACCTGCGTGCTGGACCCAGTCCAGGTGGGGTTGGTCCTTCCCCGAGGCCCCAACTGACTGTCATGTAGTCCCTAGAGTGGATGCCATTAAGAAGATCCCACGGTCAGAAAAATACCAAGGCTTTTTCTCCTTTGGCTTAATTCATCACTAATGGAGTATTTAGTATTTAAAGTACCAGACTCTTGTGAGATTAGACAGGCTAGGGTAGTGGGAATATCATCTCAGAGGTGGGTTTGTATTTAAAGACCTCATTTGCCAGGAGGATGAGTTTGGTTCATTCATTTCTCAGAACCTCATTTTACTCATCAGTAAAATGCTACGATAATTATTATCTCCAGACATCAAAAATACAATTAAACTACAGGACAACCATCATTCAGAACTACTGGAAATCTAGCTGAATGGCAGTCCTACAACCAAGGATTTTAAGAAGAAGCCACATTGACACTAGTAGGAGGGGTGGAGACCCAACAGCCTGGTCCACACTCAGGTGTCACCCAGGAAAAAAATTGGAAGGTATATCTCAGCTTCAGAGATGCCCAGAGTAACGAGAGGTCCCAGCCCCACACCAGAACGTCCCAGCCCAGAGTTCCAATTCTGGGAAGAGAGAGCCACATAACTTCTGGCTGTAAAGTGCAGCAGGGATTTTGGCTGAGTGAGAAAGAGGGCTGCTGGAGTCCCAGGCAGTTTCTCTTAAAGGATCTAAACATGAATTTACTTGGATTCACTCCCTTTGAGTTCCAACACTAGGGAAGCAGCTGGAAAGGCACAAGGGACATCCAGGAAGTAACTACCGTATTTTTCGGACCATAAGACGCACTTTTTCCCCCCAAAAGTGGGGGGGAAAAGTCCCTGCGTCTTATGGTCCAAATATAGCCTACACATATTCTTTAAAAAAAAAGTTTTTTTACTTGCCCGGCTCTGTGTGGTCTCTGTGTGCTTGCTCGGGTCTAAAATGGTTCTAAATGCTGCTGTTTACTTTACAGGGTTGATTACATGTGTTTATGACTGTGATGTTGGGTTTTAATGCACATAAAATATTTTAGGACACTATTTGTTTCAGCATCTTTTTTTCTTCATTTCCCTTCTCTAAAAACTGGTGCGTCTTATGGTCCGGAGCGTCTTATGGTCCGAAAAATACGGTATATTGTCCGGCATCCAGGCGAGAGCTGGAGGGACAGCTTTCTTCCAGATAGAAGTGCTGGCAGAAGCTATTGTGCCTTTTCTGAGCCCTTCCCCCATAGACCTGGCAGGCAGGTATCAAATCCGAGTCTCTCATCAACCTGACTATCATTGTTTGTCCTGCCCTGGTGATTTCCTGAGAGACCCTGCCCCACCAACTTTTGGGCCCACACAGGCTGTTTCCAGTGGTTTTTCCATGTGAATGGCCTGTCTTGGCTCACACTTCTGAGTTTTCTAAAATTTCTCAAATAAGCAGCATCTAGTCTTGGCATGCCCTGTACTGCTTTCTAAGTGTCCCCAGGGCCAGCACAAGTGGCAGTCAGCCTTGGTTTGCAGCTTGGCCACACCTGGGCACCTCCAAACCCAGAAGAGTGGCAGGTTTCTGCAGTCACTTTGTTGCTCATACCAGATGGCTCCTGGTAGAACACAGATGGTGGCCACCCTTGGCCTGCACCTTCTGGGAGGCTCCAGAGCCAGTGAGCCTGGTGGACAGCTTCAGACCACATCTAAGCACCACCCAACCACCTCCCCAAGTGACTCACACAAGTGTTGAACTCCGCGGGCATCAGAGCCCCTCTAAATTCCTGCTCCTTGGGTTGGGCCACTGCACTGCTGGTCCTCCATGATAGCTGCAGCCAATGCTTGCAGGTGATAGGCCTGGGGGTCAATCCCTCCCATTGATGTGCCAACAGTAATCAAGGCTCAACTACAACAGGAGGGTGTACACAGCCCACAGGGGGAAGCACACCTGGAGTGCCCAGGTTAGGTGAATGGGGAGGCTGTGCCACAGGACCCCATAGGATACCTATTACATTAGGCTATTCTACCAAGCCTGCGAGATATAGCAGCTCTACGTAATACATAGAAACAAACACAGGGAGGTTGCCAAAATAAGGAGACAAATGTCCCAAATAAAGGAAAAGAACAAAACTCCAGAAAGAGAACTAAACAAGATGGATAGAAATAATCTATTAGATGCAGAGTTCAAAACACTAGTTGAAAGGCTGCTCAACGAACTTAAGGAAAGAGTAGATGAACTTAGTCAGAACTTTATCAGTATAAAATAGTACACGGAAACCATAAGAAAGAACCAGTCAGAAATGAAGGATACATTAATTGAAATGAAGAATAAATTAAGGGGAATCAACAGTAGAGTGGATGAAGCCAAGAATCAGAACAACAATTTGGAATATTAGAAAGCAAAAAACACTCAATCAGAATAGCAAAAAGGAAAAAGAAAAAAAAAAATGAGGATAGTGTAAAGAGCCTTTGGGACAACTTTAAGGATTCTAATATTTGCTTCATGGGGGTGCTGGAAGGAGAGAGCAAGAAATTGAAAACCTATTTAAAAAAAATAGTGACGGTAAACTTCCCCAATCTGGTGAAGGAAATAGACATTCAAGTCCAGGAAGCACAGAGAATCCCAAACAAGATGAATCCAAAGAGGCTCACACCAAGAAACATCATAATTAAAATGCAAAATTTTAAACACAGAGGGAGAATCTTAAAAGCAGCAAAAGAAAAGTAGTTACTTACCTACAAGGGAGCTCCCATAAGATTGTCAGCTAACTTCTCAACTGAAATTTTGCAGGCTAGAAGGGTTTGGCAATAAATATTCAAAGTGATGAAAAGTAAGGACCTATGCAATGTTGCACTCTTGTATCTATGTTTTTCTCCTGCTCCCTTCTTCAATCTCTAAAAATTAATAAACCTACTTGGCTAGCATGGCTCAATATTTGAGCATTGATCTATGAATCAGGAGGTCATGGTTCAATTCCTAGTCAGGACACATGCCATTGTTTCTGGCTCAAACCCTAGTGTTTGGTGTGCAGGAGGCGGCTGACAAATGATTTTCATCATTTCTTTCTCTCTCTCTCTCTCTCTCTCTCTCTCTCTCTCTCTCTCTCTCTCTCTCTCTCTCTCTCTTCATTACTTTCTCCAGTAGATATATACTTAAAAGTAAGTAAACTATTCTTATAATTAAATAAAAAAAAAGCAAGGACCTATAGCCAGATTACTCTACCCAGCAAAGCTATCAGTGAGAATCAAAAGGCATATAAAGAGCTTCCCAGACAAGAAAAAGCTAAAAGAGTTCATCGCCATAAACCAGTATTACATGAAATGTCAGTTAAAGGGTCTTCTTATAAGAAGAAGAAGATTAGGGAAAAGATTTAAAAAACATGAAGAATAAAATGTCAATAAATACATATCTATCAACAATTGAATCTAAAATAACAAAATAAACAAGCAGAACAGAAACAGACTCATAGATACAGTGAACATTTTGACAGTTGCCAGAAGAAATGGGTGTTGGGGCAATGGGTGAAAAAGGTGAGGGGATTAAGAAGTACGAATTGGTAGTAACAGAATAATGATGGGATATAAAGTACAGCACAGAGAATATAGTCCATAATCTAACCAGTATGTATGATGTCAGATGGCTATGGGATTTATTGGGATGATCACTTAGTAAGTTATATAATGTCTAATCACTGGGGG